TAAATTATAATTATTTGGAGTGACACATATAAAAAATCGATCAAGTTTACTTTTATTTTTTCTCTGATGTCTTTTAGTTTTTTTTAAATAAACACCCGTTAAGAGTGACAACGGAAGCGTTTCATTTTATGGTTGCGTAACTAACTATCCTACAATTTACACTTAGCTTGTAACGAATAACAAAACTTTTTGTAATTTGCAATATTAATTTTTATTATTTTTTTTTTGATTTTCAGGTTAGTTTATGGAAGAAAATATAATCATCGAAAAAAGACGCAATGTGCCGACTTATTTCATGTAAAATTGTTCAAATTTATTTTGATATTATTTTAAAGTTTGAGTGGTACACCAAGACTGAAGACATTAACGGACTGTTTAAAAACCAAGATGTATGCGTGAGTCATACCCTCGGTTTTACAATATTTGCTATTTTAACACTACTATTTTGTTTATACAAAACAATTATTTTTAATGGGAATAAGTGCCCAACTAGTTTTATTTAGTACATCCATCGATAGGAAGTAGAGTTTAAATGGTACATTGAAAACGTAAAATTTCAGTTTTCTCAATATATTTTCCTAGACTATGAGAAAACTACCACTGACATGTTTCAACTATAAAATATATACGAAGACATATTATTTTCTTAAAACATGATTTTTACTTTGCTTTTTTAAACATTATTTTCTGTGTATATTGATTTATTACTGTATTTAATTGTCGTAGAATGCACTGCTGTCTAGTATTTTCATCGATTGATTTATTGATGTGTTAAATACCCAATTTGGAAATGAATCTTATATAGGTACTTTTAAAATATATAGTCTGAAATAAAAGAATACAAATCAAAAAAGGCATTGATAAAGAAAAAATTGGAACACGTATAGTATCTATTATTTTTTCACAAAGAAAACCACACAGTTCCAAATCATAAATTTGCTACAAGTTATCTATACTAATAGTAATTCATAATATTCTGTGACAGCCTAAGTAAATGCCTTGGGAATGCCTGACCAAGTACTACTGAAGTTTATGGGAAGTTCTGTTTAGATTCATATGATTCTCACGGGATATTCCAAACCTCAAAATCATATTACAACATTGTAAATACAATTAATTATATCTCATAATTATGTCTGTCCTATATTATTAACAACGATAATCATTTCATGGATTTCTTGAATGTTTTGTCAACAAAATATCAAAATCAAGATTAAATAGTTTTTGCATACGAATAATAACACGATCCACTGCCCTGCAAAGATTAATCTGTACACCTTTGTGCGTGAAATGTTTGTATAAGTTATCGATGTGTGTTGCTGACGAAACATTTTTAATTCAAATCTTCAAAAATCATTTGTTGGATTATAAAATATACATTATCCGCAACAGCCGCTGTACCGTTTCTATGGTGACTATATATTCGCGTCAGTATCGATTTTATGTTGATTAAATGTGTAAATGTGTTCATTAAAATCCGACGAAAAAAAAATCACAATGACAGATGGTTGAAAGAAAAGTTTTTCACAGTGTTCATCAGAAAGAATGCATCGATGCACGTTGCTCTTTTTGTGGGTGAGAACATTATTATGCAACAACGCGTCGCACTGATGAACGAGAAATTAGACATAACTCAATGTTCATAACGTTATTGACGACTTTTTTAACTCGACGATTTTAACTCGTCTGATGTAAAAACCTATAACGGTAGTCTTATCGACGAAAATAAGTAGAACTTTATCACATAAGTACAACAAATGTATATTATTATACATGTAAATTATGCGAGGCGTTTGTATAAGTACTTAGGCTATATTTTAAACTATTGGGATATCTGAATAAATTCAAATATGAACAAGTTGATTCTTTTTTTCTATGAGAGGATACACTTATATTTTAATTACAGAATATTGATGTTACGTAAATTAAACCGTTTGTTATAATATACTCACATCGCCTTACTATCGTGGATATATAATCAAATCGAAAGAAAGAAAATAAAAGGCACGAATCTAGTTTTTATACTTGATATACCTACAGTAGAACTAAGAAAAAGTTCAATTACGTAAATGTATTTTACTTTCCATGCCATTTAGTGCTTATGAGAATCAATAATTCCACTTAACATATCAAAAGGATATTTTAAATTTTTAATTGGGTTCAAAAAAATAATTATGATTATGGATAGTTACGTTTTGCTATCGGTTTTTTGATTTTCTTTTAATTATTTACAAACGTATTATAATGTAAATTAAGTACCAACTAAACACACTAAATATAGTTCTACCTATTATTGATACAAAAATATCAATTATTATTAAACAGAACATCAATATTCAATACCTACTACGCATTTTAAGAATTAAAGGTATCCTTCACAAATATATTATTATGTATTATGTAAATATAATCAGTGCCAGCCCCGGGGATGAACTAACAGTGCCCGGGCTGTGGTCTAATGGGACCCCACCGAATTTTGTCATCCCACATAATTATTCATATATTACATTGAAAAATGAATGATTATATATTAATAATTATTTATTTTGTGATGTCAAAATGTGAATGACATTTTATCACAGTGAAAATGTATGGAATTGAGAACTATGCATTTTTTTATTAAATAATCTTCAGTGGAATATTTGGAAATTTTAGTTAAACGGTTCTAAACCGAATATATATTTTTTACCATTACAATGTTCATTGACTATTGAATTGCTTAACTATATCGAAATAACTCTATCCAACGAGAGTTGGACTCATACGAATACCATTTCTCTCGGTTATGAAGCAGAACATCTCCTCTCATATAGTCGACTTTTGGTTTGCACTACGAGAGCACAAAAACATCCCATCGCACGGCATATTATAATATTATAATTAAGGCGAGGGACTTTGTGCCCTGAAAAACCTTGAAATATGCATTTATTTATTTAGCCCTAAAAAATCACTAACAAGCCCCTAATATATGCACAATTACTTAAATGTGCATTAAAAACTGAAACATTTGTACTACCTATGTATATTAGACAGTCAAATGTTTTTATTAGTAAAATTTAACATGTTAAATCTTAACTTATGTTTGAGAAGACTAGAATTTGCAGAAGTCAAATATTAAAGAATATAACATTGACCAACTGACGCTGATTAATTAATAAGTATCCCTTTACCCATATTATAATAGATGCATGCATTATAAGTATATGAATAAAATAATATCGATTAATCATAATTTCAACTATAAATTATGTGAATTTAAAAAATTTAAGGGGATATGCATTTAAAATATGAATATACCAAAAATGAGAAAAAAATATTACAATTGACACGTGCAGTATTATGAAACAAATTTCTATACCACTTTTCTGTAGATGTGTTTTGAATGAATATTAGAAATAATGCGAACTCGCATAAGCCTCCATAGTTCATATCCTTAATTATTATCATCACAATCACTACAAAATTACCTGACCCTGGCACCCTGCATAGTCGGTGAGGACAATTCATGGGATGCTGGGACAATTGAGAGCGGAAACGACACGTTTTTCGTTTTGCTAAGCTCTCACTGGTCGTCGCATGGACCTCTGATCAGAGTATAATATGGGGTAGGATTTAACTATTGCAATATTAATTTTAATTTAAAACAAAATAATGCTGGTTTTTTTTTGGAATTTATAATAAAATGTAAATCTATTGATCCGCGCTACAGATGCGGTAAAAGCGGGTAGTTTGCCGATAAGCACGTGCATCGCCGTATCGGAGCAGTCACGTTATAAATTTCAATGTTATTATAAAATATGCACGAATATACAAAATTTCCGATCGATTGACATAACATACGAAAGATTCGTACACGGATAAATCACTTAAGCGCCCTCCGTGAAATAAATATTATATCTCTATAAAAGCTACATGGCTTTTGTCGAGTCTGACATATATGTATGCGTTTTAAAATAATAAAAATAATATATTGTACGTAAATCGTGAATAGGTTGTGTTGGAAAAATACAGTAGGTATAAGTACTGCTCTGTTATACAATTATTATAGTCTTATACTACAATGAACTGTATATTACACGCCTAAACATTAAGAATGCATTAATCGTTATTCTAAATCGGTTTTACAATAAGGCGTAGACTGAAAGGACGATTTCTATGTTGGATAATAAATCATCAATTTTTTTTATGGAACTAGATTATGGGAGATGTTTCAAAATTACATTTCTTAAGATTTCAAAATCATTAAAAATCATGTTGGTGCACCCGCCGAAGGTTGTGGTTTTAATTATTATTAGATTTTAGTAGATCGTAGATTATCATATTTTTGGTACCCAACGGTTTTTCGGTTCATCAGATACATAATATAATATTATGTGAAGATGTGATTAATTTGTGTATGGTCTGAAATACCATAATAATATATTACGAGTGTGCAATTATATTAATTCAAATACATAGTATGCTTGATATTTTTTATTCGAAAATTTGAATCGTTAATATGTATTTCGTTATTGTCATGCACATAATATCATGTGTTTTTATATAAACTTTTTAATTTACTTAAGTGTATTTGAACATTGAAGAGCATACACGTAATTAAAAATTTAGTATGCTATTATGCGTAACATTCTAATGTTAGTTTGGTGGTCGAGAAGTTTATGGTATCATTCATCGGGAGGGGACGTTTTCATTTTGAAAATTTATCGTTGTTTACGATACACTGAGTGTTAAAATGTATACGTATATGTTTTTAATTAAAAAAAAACTTTGTTGATTAAGTCAATTTCAGTAAAAATTTACCTAGCCATAAATTATATTTCACTACACACATTATATTTATGCTTTCGTAGTAATAATAAAAATGCTCTGACTCTTTGTGTGCCTATATAGTTATTTTAATACGCAATTCAAAAGACTTAATGTAATGTTAATTTAATAATAGCAAAAATACTATATACATTTACAAAATATTATTATATAACAAAACCATATAGGTTTAAGTTATATACGTAGGTACAACAAAACGTAACAAACGCATTTCCTAAAGGAAAAAGCTTTGAGGGAAAACTAATAACAAATTCGATCTAAAATACTTGGAATACTTGTAATATCAAAATAGAACAAACCGATTATATTCGCATGGCCCAAATATAAACGTTATTTGGAAAGTTTAATGTTTGACCGCATCTGAAAAATGTTAGTGAAATATACCCAATAATAGTGTCTTGCTGAAACCTTCACTTGGTTCGAAAATAACTTCGACTAATGTAAACCGAGAAATGCCGAAAGGTAATATTTTTGTTGTGGTTTCGATAGAACCATTCCAGTAATAGTCTTCAGTGTTTAAAATTCGTACTTATTAAATTATGGATAGGTAGATAACTAAACTTTTTGTTCAAAAAAGAATGGTAATAATCAGTTCCTGGATCTTAACTTTACTTTAAATTGTTTTGAATAATTTTACTTCAGGAATACGAATTTCAAACAATATCTAGATTATCGTCGATAAATTGAAACCGTTATTGAATTGGAACCTTAGCATCGATAAACTAATAGAGAATAAGTCTTTTTTTGTCCACGACGCGTATTATGTAATGAGATCCGTTTTTATTTTTAACAACAGGTAAATGAACAACTTACTAACGACATTGTTAGTATCAAGTGAGTATCTTGTTAAATGGAGCACTCGGTTCATAGTAGGTATCAATCATTGTCTCTTATATTGTATGTACTACTAGACCATCACGACAAGACACACGACGACCATAGTATTATAGTCAACTGTGAATACAAGACGTGCACTCGCACATAATACCAAAAATACGTGTGACGACCGATGGCGTTAAGATAATATAATCATTATAATGTGTTTTGAATATTCAGCACCAACCGTTTCAAACGTGCAGCAGTTTACGTACATATTATAATGCCTAGGCACTAATATGTCCATTTGGAATCGCTGACTCGACTTCGGCGGGAGTTTTGCAATTACGCCGACAGTTTACATTTATCTTGCACACACAGTTTTAGACTTTAGTCGCCATACCAACGCCCAAAGTTGAGTGGCACTCGCATCGACACCACCCATGCACAGCCAACGGTGTTCGGCTCAAAAACGTGTTCCCGATTGTTTAAGTTTTGACTACTTGAGCCATTATTTGTGTTGGGACGATTAATAATCATGGTCGTTATTGCGGGACCAGCCGAAGGGTGAGAGCCGCGGGTATAACGCGACGGCGGTATATAGGTGGTTGATGTAAAAATAAACAGGTAGGTAGGAAAAAAACCACCCAGCAGCAAAACGTTTTCGAAATAATTACAAAATTAACAATGACTTACAGACGACTACGTGTTTTCGGCGCCCACGGTGAATACCTAACCCCATTTTACCGACTGAAAACGGCGGCATCGAGTCTGGCGCTGCTGGCTGGCCGAATGAAATTACGACGGCAGTGCTATCGACCATCCGTCGACCAGAAACGAAACTGTACAATATTGACACCACCTTTTTTTCGTGAAAAATGTGCTCACTCGGTTTTCCATTTCTCTGCAGTAGGTATACCCGAACTTTTGTGGCTGTTTTGATCGAGTTCAACGAAGTTGTTAAACATTTTTATGATATTATAACGAACGCGAGCTTTGATAAATGTGACGGCTTTGTGGCGTATCCGCCATACGTCATAAACTCTATATTATATTATGTTTGATATATATATACCTGTAGTTCTAAACCATACTCGTCCGTTATAACAGGATTTAAATACAAAAAGCATTTTTGGTTTATAGTTGTATAAACCACCATTGGTGTTCTAGCACAAAGTTCGTTTCGAAAATCCCGGAAGAATCTAAAAATGAAACATATTTTTCAATAAATTACATCACACTATAGTATGCATTGGTTGAACTTTTCTCATATTATATTTACGTTTTTGAGTTAAACACAGAATTTTTTTATACATCGCTAGAAATTAATATCGATAATGTATCTGCCGTAACTTTAAAATATAGTATACAAGAAAAAGATAATAATTTCAATTAGTGCACATGAATTGACATCAAAAACAAGATAATCATCTGACATTATATTCTATTGACAATCCACATTTTCCAACGACTAGTAAATGTCAAACTATCGTGTCATTTGCGATTAACAATCATTAAATAGAACAATATTGTATGAAATAAAAATGTGCTTTTTTTTATTTTAAAATATTTTTTTACTCTAAGGTATTTTATTTTGCATTACTTTTTGAGGGTTTTTTAGTATATTTAGACCATGATAATCCACTCCATCGTTATTAGGGTACTTTATTACACTGTTTTGTGTACCTTTATTTCAACGAATTAAAATAAATCGAAGTTAAGTTGCCAAAAAATCTCATAAATAATGAAAGGTCCGAAATCCTGGCCAACTTGTAGACTTTCAACCGATTTGGAATTGATTGGTCAATTTCAGGGAAGCGTAGTAATGATAACAATATAAAGAAACCCCACAGAGAACTACACGCCATGGAGGTATAATACCTCAGATTATTCCATTGTATTTTTGTTTGTAATCATGAATTTATTTTATAACTAACAATTCATAATAATATAGCCAACATGAGTAACCGATACTATAAAATATTGTTAATGTATTAATCAATACTCTCTCGAAATTCGAACTTTTGAGGTACAATAAGTGGGAATTCCCACTAAACATCAAACAATTTTCAATGAACCATACCATTATATTTCAGTATATTGTAATTTATTATAATTAGATCAAAGTTAAAATTAAACGTGATTGTATTTTGAATTAAGTATACAGAAGAAGAATAATGATTTAGTATTTGGCTTAAACCATGATCAAGCAACTAAATGAATTATAATATGATTATTTTGTGGAATACACGTTTAGTGTATACATTATTTCAAGGCAAATTAAACTTTGCGTTTTAATGTGATTAATGCAATTTTAAGTATTCGGAATTCAAATAATTATACGTTCACTAAAACAGATATAAAAACATTCATCGTTTTTGATACTATAATTATATAACTTATCAGTATTTATAACGATAACGGTTTTATGATTGTCACAACAATAATCAATTCATTCGAGATAAATGTAAGCATGTTTAAGATTCCAAGTGGAGTAACTAAGAAAGAAAATTACAAAAAAACAGACTAAAATCAATCAAGTGTTTAAAAAAAAAATTAATAGCTTTAAAAACTAGATTTTTTACCAAATAATTATGACAGCATTTTATAGAAAATGTATAACCTTATACTTGTCGATGACCATTTTTATGATCGTTTGAAAAGCATAAGCAGTTAATACAAACTCATTCATTCGTTTTCGTAAAGCAATTTAAAAATATTGGAAGTGCACACATACTATGGGCAATTGTTTTTTAGAGATGTTTTAAGTTTAAATTTGAACGAAATTGATTACTTAAATGAAAAATACCGGTTTTAGTTATTGAGTTGTAATTTAAAATAATATAACTAACAGAGATTTTAAAGTTTTTGCCATTCAGAACGTTGTTATTTACTAGGTACCTATACACAATGGCATTATTAAAAATATTTAGATTAGTATTTAGGTATTTATACAATAATACCACAAACTTATATACTCTATCCTACGTTACATCGGGATTGAAGGCAATGCTAATATATTATGCAATAATATTATAATAAAAAGTATAATGTAAGTATGCGATTTGTTGTTGGAATTATTTAGTCCAACCACATATACCACATAACTTATAGAAAAATAAATTACAACAGTATTGTTTATAAATTTAGATATGATGAATTTAATATTTCTTTAAAAATATAGATCTACATCTGCTCATAATATTGTTTCTTATATAATGATTTATCATTAAATTAAGATGAAAGATACGTGTTAGTCATTACACATTACATACTCAATGATGAGTTACACTCAACAATAACTATACAGCTATACAGTTATTTCTTAAATTATATTCATCTTAAATGTATTAATTTATTGACGTTTTCGTATGCTCTTTTCGGTGAAAACATTGATTTAATTATAGATATTATGTCAAACACTGAAGTCGTGAGCACAAATCGAATACAAAAGAAAAGAAATCTTTTACGATAACAGTGAAAAGTACGTGCTGATTTTCATAAAATCAAAACACTTTCTTATCAACTTACTGCCTTCAAATGTATACTATTATGTTCTAACCATCATCCAAACATTCCAATCGATTGTTGTACAAATTGTAATTACCTAAATATTTACAGATTTAAGAAAGAGATCAGTAAGGGATAACTATATTTTCCAGTTGAATTTTAAACATTATAGGGGATTACCGGAGTTATGAATACTTTTTAGATTGGATATGGAAGTTTTTTGGTAACTGTGAAGTTTTTTGAACAGTTTAAAATAAGTTCTTTTGGATTCCCGTAAAAAATGTCTGCGTATTTTATTGTTTTTCTTTTCTCTACCTCTTTTATTTTCTTTCAAACTATAAATAAAAAAACAAATTAAAGAGCTAGAAGTTCATCTATAATTAATGGCTTTCTCAAATTTTTTTAAAATATTATACCTATACTAAAAAAAAACAGAAAACAGAATAACAATATATTAAAGTCTGCGTGATGTTTATGAACATTGTGAATTATACTGAAATTCAAAAACAAGAAAAAATTGCACCATAGAGTTATGTACAGTGCGTATAATAATCAACAAGTAGACAAATATCGATGATATTAAAATATTATGTAAAGACAAATAATAGGCATTTAGGATTTGAGTCCTTTAATTCCATCACTCACATCGAGCCAAGTTTAAAATGAAAGAAACGGTCTGTCTTTGCATCCAAAAAAGATTAGATCGAATAAAAACGAGCTGAATGAAATCTGTGAAAAACCACTGAGGAAAATCGTTATATGTCATGTTTATCGTAGTCTTGATTTCGAATTGATATAGATAAGACTAAGGTACGTGACACAAGTTTGAACTTTTTAGTATTTTCCACCTAAAAAAATGTTCACAGAAAAACACAATTATCCTAATAAAATCAATACGGCCATTGCTGCATTATTCAATACATCTAAAATTATATTTTATTTATTAGTTTTTTTTATTTTGTCATCAAATAGAATATAGACTCGTAAAATATTATTTTTTTCTAGTAATGTTTACAACGGTGTATTTTTATCACAAGGTAATGTTTTTAGACAATTTTCTTACCTTATTTTCAAGCAGTAAAATCCAATAATACAAAATTACTTTCAAATAATTCCAACTTTTTTATTTGGTCTTAAGTTGGTCGGAAGGAATGCAATTTCTTTAAGATATCTGTACTTTGATAATCTATCTTTGATATATATATATAATCGGGTTCCATCAATACTAGACATTTTTGTTATCCTTTTCTAAGCACAGAATTAAAACCTAAGTAATTAATGAAGAAAAATAAAATAATTTAAAAGTTTGCTTTAAATGTATAATCATTAATCGATATTATAGAGAAATTTAATTTTATAGGAAATTTGAGGTCCACTTGATTTGTTAATATTATAAATAGGTTACCCATATTTTTTTAAGTACATTTATTTTCATAGTCCTAATAAAGTTTACAAATACAACATTACGATATGAGTTGGGGAATTATTTGTCAAAAAACAACGACAAGTCAAGTACTTATGTAGGTAATTCTTAGTAGTTGATAAAAAAAGTGACTTACGTAGGAACTATTATTATAAAAAAGTATCGTAAAATTAAATTTTTTATATTTAGGTATATTCTTATCAAACGATTTTATTTTATCCAATAATACTATCGAATTACTTGTACTAGTTATGATTTTATGTAATATTATAGTTATAGTTAGTTATATTATTGTATAGGGTAAAGAGATAATATGTGACTTGAAATATTATAGAACTTATAATAATTTTAAAAAGAACCATTATTTATTTTATTGCTAATAATATGTTTAGTGATTAATACAATATTAGTAATATTACTAACAGTTCCATCATATTATTATTTATTATTTCAAATACGTGTATGAATCAATTTACTTATTTTATTTTAAGCCATTTTTACAACATGATAATAATTGTAATCACATTCGTGTTAAAATATACTTGTTTTACACAAGCTTTGAAAATCGTCTGTATAGAAAAAGAATAAGCATTATATAGTATTAATTTAATGGACCTTGCAGTATATTATATCATGAAAATTAAATAAATTCTATTTTAATAAAATCTTGTTGACTAACATATAAAAAGTAATAATATTTTTCTTTCGTGGTGTTAAAAAAAATAATATATTTTAACATTTCAAATCGAAGTTGTTTATAGAATTCGGATAAATAATAGGTAATAGGAAGATACAACAAACATGTACAACTGCAAAATAAACATATCCTTACTAAACTGGATCAGGGCAAAATGGGGTTCATAAAATTCTATTAGACTGGGTAATGACAAATAAAGTCTACCAAATCAAACCATATTTTTCATATAATATTATACCGCCTACAACAGTGTCGAATCGAGCAGGCGAAGGTCAAAAGCAAACAATACAATAGTCAAGAATATGGGCGAACACAAATATCACCTACTAACACTCGATGAATAGTAAACCAAAACCCATAAGCATTTGTGTATATAATATTGCAACATCTCGATCATACAAAAAATATAGAATGTATCAAACTTGTTAAAAT